AATAAAAAGTTATTTTATATTATTATTCTGATTACTTATTAACTTCTCTTATTACTCGCGGATATATGGTTTAAACTAATTAAATACTGCTCCAGTAAGGTAAGTAGATATGAAAAAAATCTTATTCTTTTTATTCTTAAGCTTTTTCTTATTTATGTTGAGGTATAAGTCTAACTGGGTCAAGAAAGCTCTAAGCTTCGCTTATTTGCTATTAAATGGCTCGGGTGGTCAGACCTTGACAGATTTAACTAATAAGCAATCTTCGAGTAACTGGTTCTTTTGTTTTAAGGCAGTGACACTTTCTTATAGCTGATTAACCATATCTATCAGTTCCTTAGTTATCAGGCCCTGCTGAGGCGCACGCGATGTGTTCAATATAGTTAACATAATGACTGGTTATCACTGGGTAACACTCATACTGACTAGTGCTCAATATATCAAATCCTAGGATCGCTTCTCCCTGTTTCTATTAGCTTAGCTCCCGTTCCGATACGTACCTTGTGAACTGAATCGAAGGTAGTCAGGTTGATGATTATCTAAAGATGACTTGATCTGAATAGAAGAAGAGAAGTAAGGCCAGATAGTACCGTGCAGCTATCTGTAAGTAAGTGCAGACGAGTATTGTTACTAAGCTTTACCAAAATATATGGTTACTTAAAGACAGTGTTATTGAGCACGAAGAACAGAACTAGCTAAATATATGAAAGAATGTCCTTATATCCTATTCTTTGTATACCATTTTGTATACTATTCAGGATAGATTGAGGGTTGATCCAATCACGTTCCTGGATTCTGTATATTATATTGTATATTCTTGATGATAGATCTGATGGTAGATGGTCACGTGACACAGCGTTGCCTCGGGTGTTACCCTAACCGGGATCTTACTCAATAAGAGTTGCTGGCTGCCCGAGTCCTTCCTGGTCGTTACCTTTCTGCCTGACGAGTCCGCTTCTGCTAGTAACCTGGCTAGCAGGGGTCTGTAACAATTAATTATCTTATATTACTAGCAGTAGTTTCCTTTCTAATAATACTATTTGTTTCTTATTATTATTATTTAATTACTTAATATTAGTATTACACAGTTTCTATATTATATATTATATATTAAATATCTTAATAATTAAACAACCACTTATTTATATTAGTAGCCTTGAAAATCATATTAAAATTTTTATTTATTAAGTTTTTATTTTTCTTTCCCTCTTTCTGATAGAGTATAGATATATCAAGATATATTTTATTATAATTTACTAAGAAGTTACTTAATATTTTAAATAATATTTTGTTGTTTTTATATTTTTTATACTGTCTATATTCATTACACAGCCTATTACACTGCTATTACTGCTACTGCTATTCTTCTTATTTAAATCATTATTATTAATTAAATATCCTGAATATATACCACCCGCGTGTTTAGAACTAATAATTCTTATAATATCAATAATATATATAAGAATAATACTATTACTAGTCCTACTATTAATCCTGTTATTATTATTATTATCTTTCTTAATATTCCTGCTAATGCTTTCAAGGTTGTTTCTTCTCTTTTTTTATATATTTTAATATTATTATTACTTTCTTTTCTATAAATTCGGGCATAGTGTTTCTAGAGATAGGATTATTGACTATTATAATTATTTTTAAAGATCTTTTCTATATTATTTTATTAGTTAAAAAAAGTTTTCAGAATATTTTTCTTTTTCTATAATTAATAAATAATAATATATCTCTGTCTATATAGTTTTATATTATAATATACAGCTATAATTCTTTTAGTTCTATAATTTTTTCAAAATTTATTTAAATCTTTTTTATTTACAAAGTTATGTGTCAGATTAGTTTATACTATTTTTTTCATTATTTTATTATATTTAAAAAAACTTTTATTTTCTTAATATACACGAGAGATTTTTAAGTATTATTATTTAAAAAATATTTAAACTATTTAATTAAATATTTAATTTATATATTTTTAATTCTTCTTTGCATAATAATTTTGTTAATCTATTATTTTTATTCTTTATTAATTAAGATTAATAATAGACAGTATTAGACTCCCAGTCTAGTTTTATAAGATTCTAGTAATAAAAATAAGATACTGGATATAGATTCTTATATTTTAATAATAATTATAGCTTGTATGACTGCGAGCCCCAGATATTAATAATTATAAAAAGACTGAGTTAATAGTAATCTAGCTTTATATTAAACTAGATTATTATCATATTTTTTACATATATTATAACTTCTTAATTAATTTAATAAATCTATTCTATATAATATTTATTATATTATGAAATCTAATATATTTTACTTTTTTAAGGATTTTCGGAGTAATTTTCTTATTTTAATAAGTAATCTTATTTATTTTTTATTATTAAGGCTTTTTAGTCCAGTTCTTTAATATCTATATCTATATACAGTTAAAGTAAGAATGTTATAAGGGTCTTATGTAGAATTATCTTTATTATACTGTATTTTATATTATTATATAATATTTAAATTATAGATAGCTATCTAGTCTAATTATCTTACAAGAAGTTAGTATAGGCTTATAAATAATATTCTAATATTTGATTTTACTATTTTATCTGACTATTTATTTATAAATAGTATACTATAAATATCTTCTTATATATTTTTATATAATAATATAAAATAGCTTAATATCTACTTATAAAAATAATCTCTTTATTTATTACTAATCTATACATATTTCTAATATACAGTATATTATATTTATAAATTAGTTCTATAAGCTTTAGTACATTAATATTCTTTTTATAAGATAAGTAAAAGATATACTTTATAAATATATTTATTATTATTTGAATTGTATTATATATAATCTCTTTTTATTAGCTAAACAATAAATCTGTAATAAAGTCTATAATAAATACTTTACTCAGTATATTTAATATAGATAATAATTCTAGCTTGCTATAAAGCACGTGTTAGTAAACTTAGATTCTTTAATATAGATTATAGATTTTTATATATTTTTTTGTTTCAGTATATATATTATATTATTAATATTTATATGTTACGGACCCCTGCTAGCTAAACAAACTAGTGAGGCGGACTCGTCAGGCAGAAGGCCACGTCCGGAAAGACAAGGACTCTTATCGAGTAGAATCCCGATCTGAGTAACCGACGACCGGAGCGGTTACACAACACGTGACCACGGTGGGCATGTCACCGACACGCTACAACATGTCGGCGCTACGACAGGACATGGCAGCGACATGAAATAACATATCAGTGGCATGACATATCATGGCAACGCCATGACGAAGGATAGGATATAAGGACACTCTTTCATGTACTTAGCTAGTTCTGTTCTTCGTGCTCAATTCAAATTGTCTTTAAGTAACCATACGTTTTGGTAAAGCTTAGCGATAACACTCGTCCGCACTTACTTACGGATAGCTGCGCGGCACTATCTGGCCTTACTTCTCTTCTTCTGTTCAGATTAAGTCACCTTTAGATAGTCAACAACCTGACTACCTTTGATTCAGTTCACAAGGTACGTATCGGAACGGGAGCTAAGCTAACAGGAACAGGGAGAAGCGATCTGTTACAGACCCCTGCTAGCTGAACGAACTAGTAAGGCGGATACGTTAGGCAGAAGGCCACGTCCGGAAGGCAAGGACTCTTATCGAGTAGAATCCCGATCAGAGCAACCTACAAACCGGGACGGTTACACAAACACGTGACCACGACGGACATGTCACCGACACGCTATAACATGGCAGCGCTACGACAGGACATGGCAGCGCTACGACATAACATATCGGCGACATGACATATCATGGCGACGCCATGACGAAGGATAGGATATAAGGACACTCTTTCATGTACTTAGCTAGTTCTGTTCTTCGTGCTCAATTTACAATTGTCTTTAAGTAACCTACGTTTCGGTAAAGCTTAGCGACAACACTCGTCCGCACTTACTTACGGATAGTTGCGTGGCACTATCTGGCCTTACTTCTCTTCTTCTGTTCAGATCAAGTCACCTTTAGATAGTCAACAGCCTGACTACCTTTGATTCAGTTCACAAGGTACGTATCGGAACGGGAGCTAAGCTAACAGGAACAGGGAGAAGCGATCCTAGGGTTTGACACGATCCTAGGGTTTGACAATCTTTTTATAACTCTTTTAATTCTAATAAATTCTTAATTAATAGTTAGTATGGAGTAATTGGTTGTAAATTATAAATATAACTAGAATTAAGATTTTCAGTATTATAAGAAGGATTTAAATATTTCTATAGTTATAATTTTATAAGAATATTATAAAGATTCTTGATAACTTAAAATTTTATAAAATTACTTTAAATAATACTTAATAATAAATATAGTAGTACTTCACAGTAAAGAGCCGGGCTTGTAACTTATTAAGATATAAGGCTGAAGAAAAATAAGTAATATTTATTAACTAGCTAGAAGACTTCTGCTACGCAGGATGAACAGGACAACAACACTGTGGCCAACATGATGAGACATGTGACGCGCTTGCTTACTGACCAACCGGCTGTCCGGACATTTTCTAGTGTATTTAGTGACTGGTAAGGGGTGATGTTGGTAAGGCTGGTTGATGACTCTGGATGTTGGGAGTCAAACCCCTTGTTCTTTCAATATTGTTACCTTGGCGACCTGCAGCTCTCGCTTATCTAAGCACTTCAGCCTGATAGCAACAAATGATTGGATATCTTCAATGGGATCGACTAGATTGGGATTTGTGAAACAGGATACTAGATGAGGTTGGTATATATGACAACGAGTGAAGAAAGACTATATCCAGTTCAGGAAATCTGGGGTGCTAGTCAAATATACTCGAAGCTGAAGATGTTATTCTGTATGTTCTATTCAATCACTCGGGAAATCTATGAAGTAGTGATAGTTGCGATCTGCCTGCATCTCTTGCAGAATCTCTCAAGATCCTAATCCAATGTAAATAAATTCAAAGCTATCAATAATAATACAAGGTTGAAGAGAAGATCAAGCGCTATCCTAACAACCCATTCCAGCCGGGTCAATTGCAGCACACTTAAGAAGAGAAAGAGAACTCAGGGATATCAATGGTGGTGACAGTCCAGGTCTTGCCACCGTCGGTGGTGGACATGTCACCAGTCACACCCTCACCCTTGGCCATGGTGTTGATGTAGTCAGGGTCAGCAACATCGAGAATGATCTTGGTATCGATCCAGGCTAAGCGATGAGTTAGTCCGGTTCAACTGCACCAATCAGGGCAACTTACAGTGAGCGCCAATAGTACCGCAGTTATCCTCGGCGCACTCGACAGCACTGCCCCAGCCCTCGGCTTTGGCATCGCTGGTGGAGAGAGTGGAGACGGTCTTGCCATTGATCAAAACGGTCTGGGTGTAGTTACCGGTGGAATCCTCGAACTTGTCTGCAGGGGGTTAGTTTCTGGGGTGAGATAAATGCACTGGGTACGTACAGTGCATGGTGACCTTGTCACCCTTGGTGCCATCAGCCTGGCCATCACCGTAGATGGGCTCCTGGGAGGTTGCTGTAGAGATATTAGTGGTTCGATCATTGTATTGATTATTGTGGAGTCTCACCGCCGGTCACCTTGAGAGTGTAGGCGTACATGGTCCAGTCGCTCTGCTGCCAGTTGTCGGCAATGGACTGGATCAAGTCACCGTTCGAAGTGCCCATACCAACCCACAGGGAGGTGATGGCATCGGATGATCCACCGCTGGGGCCGTTGGGGAGGACGAGAGTCGAGGTGGCTTCACGGATGAAGGAGTTGGAGGAGACAGGGCCAGTGCTGAAGGCGGGACCCATGGCGGCGTTGACCGAGGTGGCGCCGAGGGCGAGAGCCGCGAGAACCTGGTTGCGAGTGTACATTGTGATGTTGATGTGGAGGAATAAAATTGGGATTGTAGTTGTTGGAGAACAAGAGATTGGAAGCCGGGATGAAATAACCCTTTATACGTTCTAAGCATGTACCGAGGTAGTAGTCCCCGGCCTGGTGACAGCATAGAATCGCTGTTGTTTCATCAGTATCCACTGTTGGATCTAGATTCGGAAGAAATGTTCGGAAGAAGGAGGATTCAGTGCCCTAACTGCCCGAATTGGAGCAGGATACGAAGAATCCGGCAGCAAATCAATCTAGATGGATCTCAGGGACAGGCTACTGCCGCAGACTGCTACCTGAATTTCCCGTGTGGCCCACTTGGTCTCGGCACTGGATCGGCGCATCCACTTCGAAGCCCTGCCCTATGGAAACCCCGGAAGGCCGTTTGGGTCTCTATTTTGCCTGCTAAAATAGGCAGATGTGTTACGGTAGAATGGCCTGATCAATTCCTCAAGTAAATGTCATTGGTGCCCTGTCATTCTCCAGCGGGACGGAGAAATCTCCTTTTTCATTTCAGCGCAAGGTTATGCTTAAGCGCTGGGTATCTGCGGGGCACCATGGGGAATGTCAGTCCTGCACAGGGCTATGATACGGCCAATTGGAGATTCAATGGCTGTATAAGAGGGTTTTGATGAAGAAGGTTAACTGGCATTTGGCATTTGTGCTGCACACGCCGGCTGACAGCAGAGACCCACCAGACCCCGTGCTAGGAAGCTCGAGATGATTGGCCATACGAACCCCTATCTGACACTTATCGGGATATTGTCATGTTCGGTGGTTTGGTCAGAGTTGGGGTCAATTGTTGCTGTGGGAGGGCCACGATTAGTGCATATCGTGGGACACTGAAGCCGAGGGAACTCCTTCAAGTCCAGCATTATCCAGTCGGCTGGAGTTTCTGTTTGCAGTGAAAGGTCTTGGCGACTACTCTAAGGAGTAAATGAATCCGTCCTCGGATGTTTTATTGCAGACGTTGGAAGCCACAGTCGTCTCGTAGGTAGACAACCACTATGCGTGGAACCGAAACATATTGGTTTTAGGTAACACCTTCCAGTGAGAATGCGATCAGGTAATGGTAGTTTGATGGTCGCACGCCTGTATAGACCGGGTCTAGTCGTTTGTTTTGTCAACAGTAATAGATGGAGCACTTGGAGTAAGGCAGCCTTCCGGACTATGAGTTGACGGTGATTATCTCACATCATTCACTGTCAGCCGGTCAACGGCATATAGGCTATATCCAGTCGGTGTGTGTCTGGGTGTTAGAGAACTGTGATGACGGCTCGCTTATGATGGCTCAGAATGCCGGAGGATTCCAAGTCTGATGGCTTCAGGAGGCATGGATAATCGTACTCCGTACTATGCAAGAGCAAGGATCAGGGGAAGCGAGCAGAGAGACAAGTGTGCAATAACCGGCTATATGCCAGAGAGAAGGCTATATGGCTTCATGGTTGCCTTCTCAGTCTCCTGGTACGGCTAGCTGCCATCGGTAATCAACCAGTGTCCAAACGACTCACGTCATAGAGAAACACGCCAAGGGATAACTTGATGGACTAGAATAAACACAAGCAAGAACCAAGAAGGAGCTAGTGCAGTACTAGCCTACCAGTATTCAACAGAACAGGCATAAGAGGTAGTGAATACCCAATGAGTCTACGTGTAGCCTTGTCACGTTCCTATTGGATGACTAGTAAAAGTGGATTTTCGCGATTCTTTGACAACTCGACCAGGAAAGGCTTTCCATTGGTTTGAGGAATCATATTTGATTGACAACGTTGGGGGCCGGATTTTGAGGTTAGATATTCACGTATTACAAGATCCACTGAAGTGGGCTTTGAGAGGGTTGTGTTACTATTCCAGTTTGGAACGGTTACTGGTTTGATTGAGGGTAGTCCTCGATGATTTAGCCGGAATATATATCAGTCAGTCCATGTTTAGTCATTGAATATGTCCTCTGGCAATTTTAGTCTACTACAATATATAGTTCGGGTTCAAATTATCTTTTTACATCACAGAAAACGCCCAAAATATTTATTCTCCTATGTAGTTGCCGAGCGTTATTCCAATGAGTGGATTAAATTCTATCATTCTACACATTAGAGGTGATAGTATCACCTCTAATCTGTACAAAAGGAGACCTGAGTATTATGAATTCATTCCAGTATCCTACTACCTCTGCTTCGAGCAATCCCTCGAAGCAACTCAATTCCGATATTAAAATCCGTCTATTAACACCCACCCTATCAGAAGCTCACCATGAACTGCATTCAAAGTTACAAACCTCAGACCAGCACGACCTGTGCCTCTTGCTCCTTGTTTTTATTGCATGTAGCACAATTGTGCCAACAAGCTCAACCAATCCGCTCGCATGGCTTAGTTGGTAAAGCGCATGACTAGTAATCATGAGATCCTCGGTTCGAATCCGAGTGCGAGCATTTTTTGTCCGATTTCTTCTATCGGCAGACAGTCGTCCGCATTGCTGAGTGGGTCGGATTCATCCCTGAGTTGAGTGCGGTCTCAATGGTGAGGTGGAGGTAATAATAATGTGGCTGCACTTGGACTGCTCTGTCGAATATCGCAAGGCTTTCGTTACGGGGTAATCAACTGCATCAATTATTTATAAGAGCAGTGTTCGATACTGCTGCGTCAATTGCAATTGGGCTCCATTGGCACAGCTTAAGCCAGCAACATTTTGCGATTCAGTAGCTGTGTGGGAACTGGAGTAATTTACCAATAGATATGGTGATTAGTGTAGCCCTATTGGGGTCCATGGAGGTGCTTATAATTCGTCTTGGTGGGAATTCGCGTATGTAATTAGCGGTATGTTTATTTGGTGGGGTAGCAAGCAAGGAAATGATGCTAAAAAGACAGAAAGATGAAAATAAGTAGCGGTAAGAGATATTGAAGTAGGAATATATACAAAAGGAGCGAATTGGTCAAGAGCGTCAGAGTAGGCTGGGAACAACAAGGAAATATTGAAACAATGAATGAAATGGGTCTGGCTTTCAAATCCCGTCTCATGTGTGAATGATCGGTGTACCTAATTGTTATATATTCTTATCATGTTTGCTAAGAACATACATATTAAAAGCAATAATTTCGTTTGTGTTGACACAGTCCTGCAGCAACTCTGGTTTGTAGCTGCTTCATATAACCAGGTGTGCGGTGTATCCAGTACCTGCAGGAGATGATATGTCAAATGCATACCTAGGGTATGAAGGGCGGCAAATACTCACACCCAGCTGAATGGATGGGATGCCACGCGAGGCTCCAACAGGAACAATAACCATCACAATGCCCTTTGCGTCATGAGTGGCTGTCAGTTTCAACAACCAACTGACACAGTTAATCCTAGGCTGGAACCCTCTTTGCCAGTGACCTAGACCACACGACTAGAGTCAGCAATGACTAGAATACCTCAATCAGAAGCCGTGGCTTGCCTGAGTATGATGCAACCCAACGTCGTGAGGAATGTGATTACCCGAATGAGACTAGTTTTGGTAGCGATAATGCATATGACATGAACAAGCATGCATACCAATAATTGATATTATGATCTGCACACGGCAAGGAACCGTGCGTCGGGGATTTCCAGCTCAATCCACATATCTATAAGCTTTACCGTTTGGTTTCATGCCTCTGATGCAGACGTTGTGAAACAATTCCTCAGTTGGGAAGGGCAATGGCGGTGTATGATTCCCAATTCTGGAAGCCAATTGTTTCGGAAGTCCCGAATAGGAAGGTGGCTTGCCTGATCCAGCTGGGTCATGACAAGCCCTGAAATGCAGAGCCACTGGAATGCTTGACGTAGCCCCAAGTATGCGTCTCACGGGTTCCCCGATCATGCATCTACTACTGATTAATGACCCCTCCATTGCTTCGGCACATGCGCCAATCACAAGGGGGGTATTTTTTCGGTGCCCAAGTCCTCATATATAGATGCGCGGACATGCCAGCTCCAAGACACAACAAGCGACACAAGGAATACAAGCACCATGAAAGCCACTATTCTTCTTGTTACTGCGTCTTTGAGCCAGGCGTTGGCCCAGGTCTCATCCCACCCGTTTCCCTGGTCGGCTCCCGGCCCTGACGATGGTGAGTGTGGTTGCCAATTGGAATGACAAAGACTAAAGGCAACAGTGCGAGGGCCTTGTCCCATGCTGAACACACTTGCAAACCACGGATTCCTACCACACGACGGCAAAGACATTACAGAAGACCGCATAGTGGCGGTACTAAACAATTCACTCAATATCGCTGAAGACCTTTCCCAGTTCCTGTTCAAGGAAGCACTAACCACGAACCCCGATCCAAACGCAACTACCTTTTCTCTGAGCGATCTCAGTCGTCATAATATCCTGGAGCATGATGCCAGTTTGAGGTGTGTTCTTCACCGCCATAGACTTTTGCAATCATGTTTCATACTGACCTACGTAGCCGCCAGGACTTTTACTTCGGGGATAACCATGACTTCAACCAGACCGTCTTCGACGAGACACGATCGTATTGGATAGCCCCTCTCATTGATTTCAATGCAGCAGCGCATGCCCGCCTGGCTCGAGTGAATACCTCGATGGCTACCAATCCCACCTATACCGAGTCGGAAACTGGTCATGCGTTCAGCTATGGGGAGAGCGCTGCCTATATGATTGTTTTTGCAGAGGGCTCTGAGACGGCTAATCGGTCGTGGGTGGAATACTTCTTTGGTAGGTCAATTGTTATTTGGAACTAGGCAGTCATTAATGTTGTGTAGAGCATGAGCGTCTGCCCCAGCAGCTTGGTTGGACCAAACCCCAAGAGAGTATTTCGACATCGGTCCTTATAGATACGGTTACAGGCATTGTGAACGCTTCTGATGCTTCTGTTCTGGAGGTTGCCGAGCTGATTGATTTTGTCGACTTGCACGTAGGCCCCATGCCATGAGGTTCTGTCGAGGCTTCTGGCGGAGGGCTGCATTTGTTTCATTCTATTGATTTGGCAGATATGATTACTCGAGAGTTGCACTGACACGCTAGTACTGAGGAGATGTCACTTATCACGAAGTCAAACATGCATCATATAAATGTAGACTTTAAATCTTCAACTAGATCTGACAATAACAACCCTGTTTTAAGAAAAGGCTATTCCCTAATTTATAGCATCATTCTCAGTTAGAGTCAGCCTTAACCACCCTCTCAATCGACTCCCTCAAATTCTCCATCTTCAGCCCCAACAATTCATTCGCCAATTCCTCATCTCTGACATAATTCACCTTCAGACCAGGGGTATTCCCAAAAGCAGTGGCACGAACTAGCGCAAACGCACCCTCAATCTTCCCCTCACCAAGCTTCGCAAACCCCTCGGAAATCTGCGTCTCGGTTGTCGTGTCCGTCACCGTCCATTTGACACCAGTAACGTCCTCCAGCGTCTCCAAGGCCTCCTTCTGCGTCAACTCAACAGAGGCAACATACACGAACCGGTTCTTGGTTTCCTCGGGATGCAAAATCACAGACGCGACTGAGTCCCCGAGCTGTTTTTCGTTCGTCAAAGTGAACCGGGTGACTCCGCCATCCCAAATCAGGGCAGTGTGCTCTTTGAGATCGAAGCCGAGGAAGCCGGCGGTGAGGCCCTATTCTTGTTAGTCAGATGGGAGAGTTATGTGTGGTGGAACTTACCCAGTCGAACAATCCAGATGTTGCGATTCCGGTCCAGCTTAAGCCCTCCTTCTCCTTTTCCTTCAGGTAGTTGATCACGTCCCGCTTCTGCTGGAACATGGGCAGGATCTTGAGCACCTCATCGTCCTGGCTGCTGGTTGAGAACTCGGACGGGATGAATCGCTTCACGCCGGCGCGGATGGCAGCGTCGATGAACTTCTGTTGCTCGGGGAAAGCACCTGCGCCGACGGCAGAGATGAGCACGTCCTGGCCACGGAGGAGAGTCTCCAGGCTGGCGGACGAGTAGTCGGTTTTGTGGACGGTGATGCCCGATGGCAAGGTGGTCGCGGGGGAGTCCTGACGGGAGAGGACAGTCACGGCGAAGTTGGGGTGGGCGATGAGGGCATTCAGGATAATTTTACCGATCGAGCCGGTGGCCTGGATGTGTTAGCAGTGATTGCTATGTGCTGGGAGACATACGCCGATGAGGGTGATTTTGATGGGGGTGGCCATTTTGCGAGTGAATAAGGGGGAATCTGTTAATTGGTTGATTCTGTTTGAATAATGCAATTGTAGTTGCTGGATGATATTCCCAACGGGAATACTGGCCTATTTATGTATTCTCAACAGTATGGCATCAATCGATGATGCTATACATCCATACCACAGCCCTAATCCGAGTCCCGTTAGCGCCTCGTGTCAGGTTAGTGCTTACGGTTATTAATTGCACCCACGCAAATTAATCATCGGCTTAGAAATGCGGACTTGTGCTCCGCTCTCCGCTCTACCCAACCAGATCTCTCTCAATCGCATCATCCTCTCATCTTCCTTTCATACCAACCGGTCTGGACACACTTGTATACTGTCACTACCACGAAAATGCCTCGTCGATTTCTCACTCCCGGACGATCTTGTTTTGAATGTAGCCGACGAAAAATCAAATGTGATAGGTCGCTGCCATGTGGTTATTGCGTCAAGGTGCAGATGACATGTGTCTATCCACCGGGGAAGCGAAAACGGTCTAGGAGCCCGGATGCAAGAAGTCCGGATGCAAGAAGCCCCGATGTTATCGGTCGGATTGAGAGAATTGAGGAGACGCTACAGGTTTTGGGGGAGGGGATGGCCCAGATTAGGGACTTGTTGCAGGGTGGTGGGCCTTTGCTTGCACGCAGGCAGATTCCTACTCCGCGACAGAGCTCTACTCCAGTACAAGTAATATCTACTGGAGGACAAGAGATACCTACTCCAAGACAAGATCAAAACCTCGATGAAGAGTTCCCCGGGTATGATCGTCCCAGTCCAGACTATGGATTGCCAGCAAGTGCACCTGGCGTATGCACTGCTTCGTGCGGTGGTCCCGAGCCCCTCGAAGCACTTCGTCCATCACCCATCACCATATCATTTCTCTGGCAATGGTACCTAGACAGCGTCGATCCGGTGTTGAAGATCTTCCACACTCCATCTGTACAGAAAGACGTGATGCAGATGATTCGACCCGGGACGACCTCCGACCTAGCAACAGAATGTCTACTCTTCGTCATTTACTACGCCGCCGTGATCAGCATGTCATCCAGTACCTGCCAGGAGGAGCTGGATGAAGACAAGCCCGTCTTGCTGAAACGGTACTACCCCACCTCAACCCTAATCCCCAATCCCCAACTCCTCTAACACCTCACTAACAAACACCCAAGATACCGCACCGGAATCGAACACACCCTCGCCCAACTCAACATCCTAACCACAACCAACCTGACCGTCCTCCAAGCCGCCACCATCTACCTCGTACACCCCCATCCCTCCCACTACCCCCTCCCAAACC